GGCTGTGGCTTCCAGGAATGACCTCGGCAGCACAGAGAGCTCTGCACCTCGTTCCCTCACCATTCCTTCCCTTTATCAGCTAGCTTCAGCAAAACCAGGAATACACTCAGACCTCCTACCCATCCTCCGAAAACCGTCGACCCAATTAACAGTTACATTCTGCTTTGTCAAGGAATTTGGGTTCGTGGAGAGGCAGAAGAGACCAGCACAGCTCTGCCGGCATTCCAGAGGCAGCCATAATACAGTTACATTAACCGTGGAAGCTGCCTCTGTGCTCATGTTTACAGTTCTTCACTCAACTCCTTCTCCAAAGCACCTGAAGGAAGCAAAGCACACACGCCCAGCTTTAATTTCACCAAGAGAGTTTTCTCGAAGGGTGAAAGCTGAGACAGCGCCTGCATTGTGCGGGGGACCTGGCAACAAACATTTGCTGTGTGAGAAGTTCAGCGTAAGGACAAAGATCTGGAATTGTCTTTTTTAATCCTCAAATAAAGCGGGTAAACAAGCTTTCTTAATGACTTCTTTGTTGACTGAGCAGTTTCACACCTGTGGGACCCATCATTCAGCAAGCCAGAAGAAGAAAAGAAGAAAGGAACGAGAAGCAGCAGGCTGGCCCCCCTCACCTCGCCGGAGGAAGCCCACGGGCAGGGGAGCTCAGCCCTGGGAGAGCATCAGGCTCACACCAGCCCGCGCCCATCATGTACATGCCATCCTTCAAACCAGCCCCAGCTCCGGTGGGAAGAGAGCTGGAGGAAGGATCTGCAGGACAACAGACCAGTACAACTGATACCCACGCTGGGTGCGCTGGCAGACGCTGCTCTAAGGTTGTAAGTAATAGAGAAGTGGGAAGACTTCCATGTGGCTTCTGTAAATGCACCTCAGGCACCTCAGAATCTTCGAGGGAGGCAGCACGTGCACAGAAAAGGGAAGGCTGTTTGGCAGAGACTGCTTGGGTTTCCACAAGGCATTGGACAAGGCTCTTAACAGCTCTCAGAAGCCCTGCAACGAGACCGAAGGTCTCCCCCGGGCAGTTAATCGGTTAAAAGGGAACAGCAGCCTCAACAGAAAGGCTATGTAACACAGGGGAATTAACAGGCAGTCTTCCCAATGGTAAATAGCAATGGACAAGGTCTGATGATGGCAAAAAAAAATATCTAGAGTTACCAAAATGCAACTGAATGTAGAGAGCGCCAGGAAAACGGTATTTTAAAGAAAACCTCAAACCAGGACAAAAGTATGTATACCAAAATCCAGACAAAAGCAATACCTATGGAGAAAACAGACACGTTTCCACCATCACACCAGGTATCGACAGCAGCCCCTTTCCTTGGGCTAACCTGAGGCTCCGGGAATCAAACCAGCTGACTTCTGTAGAGGGCCCTACGCTTCCCCGAGCTAACCCCACTCAGTAAGATGATGCTTTAGCCAACACATACCTTCCAGCTTTAAAACTTTCTGTTGATAGAGAATCCACTACAAACCTCACTAAACTGTTTTCATGGCTAATTACTTAGTGATAAATGTGAAAAAGTACCTAGTTCCAGTTTGAACTGCTCTAGCATTGACTAGTGGCCTTTTTTAGACCACCGTCCTCCATATCAAAAAAAACCCTTTGATAAAGTTTCTGTTCCACCTGCAAGCACCTCCAGTGTTACGATTTTATAACCTTCCCTTTGATAAGCTAGATTGGGCTCAAGTCTCTCACCATAAATAATGCCTTCCAAGCTTTTAATCATTTACATGGCATTTCACTGGATTTTTAAAAGCCAAAGGCATAGTCATAGCATTCATCCACTGCAGCGACAGGGCCAAACACAGATGAGCCTTCCCACTAACGCCTGAGAGGAACGCGCCGGACCTTTACCCCATGGTGTCACATTCTGCCACTTCCCTGGTGTGAAGCTGCAGCCCCAACATCCAGCATTGCTGCCTGGTTTGTTTTCCCATACACAACCTCGCATCCATCTTACCAGCAACTCAGACCCACCCAGACAAGGCAACCATCACTAAGCTCACTGGTTTTACTGGGGGGCAATTGTCTCCTTCCAGGTCACTGCTAAGTCTTAAACAAGCACAGATTGCTCTTTGAGGTGAATTTGAAACACGTTCACCAACTGACTATTGCCCTTCTACTGTTAAATCAAATCTTTCAGTTTTCAATTTGTCCTTGTGGATTTTTTGCATTGGTTTTGTTAAATCAGGCAATATACCCTGCAGTACCAACTCAAAAGCCTTACAGAAGCCTAAGCAGCACATCAGTGTATTTTCAGATAATCTGGAATATAAAAATATCATTTCAGACTGATAAGATCTATTTTCCATAAACTTACATCGACTGACCCCTCACTCACTTCAAGACCTATGTTAATGTATGACTATGTGGCCTGTCACCTTTATCCTTTAAAGTGTAGCTAAATAGAATTTCCCAGGTCTTTCCCACTGGATTTTCCTTGGCTCAGATTTATACTCTTCTACTAGACTCTTGTTTGGACAGAATAAACAGGAATTAGACCACCAAAACAGCCAGGAGAGAACGAGGGACAAACATAGCTTGCAATAGGATATCCACGAGCCACTTTGGCAATGGTGAACTGCAGGTGTCCCTGGCCAGACAATTCACCATAAGAGGCAAAACAGTCGTTGGCAGTAAAAAACGTCCTGTAGGAAGACAGACCTCTACAGGTACTTCTGTTGCAACTCTGCTAAACCAGCGAGTGCCGAAACCTGACATGCTGCTGGCAGGGACCGGCCCATGTCCGCTGGAGTAGAGGGAGTGATGCAGCCCCAGAAGTGCGCTCTGTTCCCAGTGACTATGCAGTTCCTTGGCCTTCATTTTTAAAAAGGCAGAGGATAATTCCACATCCAAGAAATTCCTCTACACAAACTTCTGGGGAACATAGTAGTTTCACAGAAGAGAGAAGAAAAGCCCCAACGTATGGGAGTTTTTCACAAAGAGGACCCCAGCATATCACTTCCCTTTTTGCTGCCACTCAAAAGGGTGATCAGCTTTGCTGTAACATTTGCGTTAGGAACCAGTGTTAGAACAGCGTTGTACAGCACCACAGAAGGATATTGGACAGCAGAACACAAGTTCCCTTTTTTCAGCAGGTCCTGAAGTCACAGACCAATGTGCTGGAAAAGCTGGAAAGACTCATGCCTCAATGCATGAAGCATACCTTACATTGTCTCTGCACCACTGGAGGTCGGCTACATGATTCACAAAAACAGAAGAAGAGAGAAATATCCTTCTCTGTTCCAAGACAAAAACAGCATTATGCACAAATCCCAAACGGGTGTCTTTTCCCTTTTCATTTAGGGAAAAAAGACAGGATTTATTTGGTTTTGCCCCCCCATCTGGTGCACATTCACAGTGAGTAAGAATGAGTTTTGTTTCCAATACATGTGTTGGATCAAGACCTCAGGGAGAAAGAAAAATCTGCATTTCGAGAAGCCACATGTCAGTTCCCATTTCTGGCATTGCCGCACACAGCACAAAAGCACCCAAACAAACCAGGATTCACAGTATAAATTGTTGCACAGAATATACATTTTAAAGGGACAAGTACAAACATTACAAAATGAACAGAATCGCTTTTAAAATACTTATATTTGCTTAACCGTTAAAAACAGACACGTACAGAAAGAGGTAGCAAAGCTAACAATTTCCTGCTGCTCCAATTAGTGTTGCCTGCATGCACTGGGAAAGTTACTGCGGAGCCGAATCTCTGGACATCTTTTCTGGAAAGGACTGTAGACAACTTGAAGTTTATTTCTGACAATGCTGTGTGAAAGACTGAGGCAAATCCACAGGCTCACTAGCAGCTGTTTCACGTTGTCTGGCTTAACGAAAAGGCATCGAAAGAAAAAGGTTATCTGTGCTTTACTTCAGAGAGCAAGAGAGGGCGAGAGAGAGAGCACACGAGCACGCACACGCGAGGGAGACCACACACAAACTTAAGAGAATACCGGGAAGTTGCACTTGCCCTGCTGCCACAAGAGGAAAGTACGACAGGTCTGTGGGTCCCAGAGTTAGGATAGAGAGTTTGGTATTAGCTTGGTCCCCATGGATATCAACATCACTTGACAGACTCAAAGCTAAAAGCAAGGCAAAAAAGGTTAAGGGAAGCAGAACTCCACGTGTTGTACGCGTGCACTCTCTCACACCCTCTCTTTCAGGCTTTCTGAAGTCCCAGCAAGGTCAGTTCAAGAGGTTCTCCCATCCAACATGTAATAGCGATACATTAAACCTATGACCAGTGCTCCGACGATGGGGATTAGCCACGTTGACCAGAAACTACGGGGAGAAAAAACAAAATAAAACAAAAATACACACAACGTAAGCCAGAAGAAAGTCTCAAGTTCATAATTCATTCAAGATGTTCGTCGCTTATTACATGTCTGTTTTCATCTAGGGAACTTTCAGGACCTGTCTCCCATCAGCTCACAGACCAGCCGTACGGGCCTTGGCTCACGGGGATGGGAAGCTCAAGCAGTCCTTGTGCTCACTGCTCTGCCCGGCCCCTGTAAGAGGCCCCTGTGCCTGCAAGCGTGGCTTGGTGGCTTATAAAATAGCAGCTGAACTCCTGAAGTTTCCACATACAGAAACCAATTTGGGGTTTTTTTTTGTTGTTGGTTGTTGTTTGGGTTTGGTTTTTTTTTTTCCTTAAGTAAGTCAGACTGTAATTTGTGCTATACAAACAGCCGAGTTGACTCAAGGATGGAAATTGCTACAGCTATCCCACCATAAATCTTCCTCACTCATAAACCAGAGGCTACAGGCTCACCTTCAGCAGCTTCCTTAGCAAAAGAGTTCTGCATCAGCTACGAAAGACTAGGGCCCTGTTCTGGTTGTAAGAACTCCTGGATTTTCAACTAAATGGGACTGGTCATGGTAAAGATCCTCCAAAAAAAATGCACATCACTGTGCTGCCACAAACACTTGCCTGCAGTGACCACCCAAATAATAACTGTAGTGCAAAGGGACTGTAGCCATAGTTGTGTAACATGAACACGTGGGCCAGAAGATTCAAGGTGCAAAATACCAGGATGCCTGTTCTGCCCAGCGTGGAGCAGGGAACTTCTCACCACCGGCTGTGTCTTCACATCCAACATGGGAGGTGAACGCCCTGGCAGCTAACTTGGTGCACTGCAGCTTGGCAACTTTGGACTATCTGCTTGCTAGAAGGACAACGCAGTAATATCCTCGGGGTTGGGGTTTTTTTCCCCTGCCCATTAGAGTTAATATGCAGTTCAACAAACGAAGAGTCCTAACCCCTCAATTTCTTACTCTTATGTTAAGAAGATACTATACCTTGCTTGGCCTGAGGATGTCATACTTGGATCCTGAAGGAGGAAAGAGGGAGTTAGCAGGGAAAAAAAAAAAAAAAAAGAAAGAAACATTAAACGTGCTAATAAGACTACAAGACTGAACATGTGATTATAAATACGGAGGAAAAATAACCCTCCCCTCCACTCCCAAACACCCTCTGTCACAAGTGCAGATGTTTCTGGGGATGTTTGCCCTCATCCTCACCTCCACATTCTTTTCATCAATCCAATCCCTCCCACCCAGTCCTCAACTTCACACTGGAACTTGCACCCCTTGCAAAAAAAAGGTCTTGTTCATTACCTCGCAAACCAGTCTGTTCATCTTACATGCTCCGGATGATAACTGGCACTCTGCTATGGATAGCCCTTTCACTGGGATCCCCTCTCCAAACCCCCGCCCACATCCCCCTTTGCTGTCCTGTTGCCTGACCCCTGAAGCATACAACCACAACGTTCTCTTCAACTCTTCTCTTGCACACAACCCGTTTCCAAATTTTTATACTTCCTCTTTCATAAAACTCTGAGAATTTACATACTTTTTCCAGTCAGCTGAAATGCTCATTTAGGCTTTCAACTCTACAGCCTCTTCCTCGATGGCTGTTGCCACTCTCCAGTTTAACCAATACCTACCAGCCGAAAGTCACCTTTCCTGCCCATCCTAAATAGAATTATCTCCATTTCCTTGAGAGCCTCGGTGTTTGCTTTTCTACCACAATACATTCAGCAGATACTAAACACTGACACTGGTCTGTGGGGAGTTACCTCTGAGCTGCGTCACATGTATAACTTTTTTCTTTTTTTGTGGTTCCCCCCTATTTATTGTGACATTGCTGACTTCTATCCCTTGCTGCTATTTTTAAATTATACTTGGGCCTGCTTTTAAAACAGAAGCTGAACACTGCAGAAAGACTGTAGCTGTACATAACTCCCTGGACGTTCTCCTCAGAAGAGAAAAATATTTGAAAAAAAATATTTAACACATAACCAAGGGAGCTACTCAGATTTCTATGCACGTTTTAGGCGTGTGATTCTGTTTATGAAATGGAGTTGAACCAAACAACAAATCTTCAGGTGAATACATGCATAATCACACAGTGCCACTTTATAACCAAGAGCAGGCTTTCCCCAGCCTCATGGCTATGACTTCCCTATGGCTGACTACAGCAAGCAAACACTCCCAGGGCTTTAGCTGCTGCTCTCTCTGTTGACAGTTTCCTTCTTGATTCCTGCTACTCTGCAAGTGGCCCTGCTCTGAACAACATCTCATGAAAGCGTTGTTGAAGGCAGAGCTGCACTGGGTCCAAGCCTTCAAACCAAGTGAGAAGAGAAGCCAGCTGCGAGGCACATGTTTACCTCTCAGATGGGATTCTATTTATTACCATTTCCCTCTCCCCATCCATTTCAAAGCCATTTTTGCAACACTGTGCCCTGTTCTAATCCAGGAGTACCTGAGTTTTAAGCAACACCAATGATTACTAGGGCAGTTAACAGAGAATTCTTGTTTTACAGCCAACCCCACGGTGGCTGTGTCTGTCTCCTGGCTTGAATCTAACAACACTAACAGTTCAGTGGTCAGGACATAGCGAGTAATGCAAAAAAATGGTCTGTGGCTCAAGGTGTGGAAATAACGTTGCTGATGTCAGGGGAGAGAGAGCACAAAAAACCACTTGCAATTTCACACTGAGGTGACTGCTGAGCTTCAGAACAACAACAAAAAAAGGTATAATTTGCTTGGAAGATTTATTCATTACTGTAGTTTGTGTAAACAAAGTCACAAGCTCCACAGGGGGAAAAACTAAAAGGCGTGCGACAACTTCTTTGTTCGTTTTGTGAGCATATCATCGTTTTCACAGCAATCAATTAAAACAGAAAAGTAAAACACCAATAGCTTACCTTAGAACCTTCTTTTTTACGATCGTGCTGTCAAGGAGAAAAAAAGAAGAGGAAAAAAAGATAAGCACTGACTTCAAGAGAAACCTGCAGTCTTTACGAGGGAATTGTTCTGTACACAGTCCTCATCATAAGGCTAATTGCCTGGACTCGGTTTTCAAAGGAGTCGTTCCTTCAGTACCCAAAGGAACTATTTTTGTAGCAGGCAGGAAGGTGGTGTTTGTGCCCTACCCCTGCGATATCTCACCCTCCTGAACTCTAAATTACAAGGCAAGGCGAAGTTATGGTGCCACCACCTAAGGAGGGAACCGATTAGATGAGCTTCCTTAAGTGCCCTTGATTTAATTGTAGGGAGAAATCTGTTCTGAATGGTGGAAAGAGAAGACTAACTTAGCTTTGTTTCCTCAACAGAAATCCTGGACAACACAGAGACTGTCTAAAACCCTTAACTACTTACTTATTTTGCAAGAAACATCTTGGTGTATGTGTTTAGTGGGGTACATAAAGGAGAGTCACACTTTTACAGAGTCCCATCCTGTGTTTGAAAGAGGCTGTCACGACCAGCTGGTCCTTACCGGGTGGATCTCCCCTATGTAGTACTGCTTGAGCATGTCCCTGGCATCTGTGGAATGCCCAACATCTTCAAAGCTCTCTGTGGCATCTCTACCAGCTTGTTCGAGCAAAACCTCTTCTCCACCTGGATGCTGGAAGAGAAGACTTCAGGTGAGCAAAAGCTAGATACAAAAAAGGTACCAAGAGTGTCAGCAGCCTCTTCCGTTCATCACAGAAGTTATGGTGATAACTTAACAATAAAATCTTCCAAAGGTTCAATTGTCCAGCTTCTCCTTCAGGAATTCACAGAGAACGACATGTGCTGCACAGCCTGGAAAATACCTTGCAGTTTCAAACTGGAAGAGGGTAGATTTAGATTAGATATTAGGAAGACATTTTTGACTATGAGGGTGGTGAGACACTGGAACAGGTTGCCCAGTGAAGTCATGGTGGCCCCACCCTGGAAGTGTTCAATGCCAGGTTAGATGGGGCTTTGAGCAACCTGGTCTAGTGGAAGATGTCCCTGCCCATGGCAGGGGAGTTGGAACCAGATGATCTTTAAGGTCCTTTCAAACCTAAACCATTCTACAATTCTATGATAATAAAAATCCTTCCAAAGAGGCAAATCCCCAACATACACAGGGAAGCACAGCCTTGTCCCCCACAGACAAGCTATCCCTTCTGTGACTTTTGTAACAGATTTGGGCAAGAAAATAATACAGAAGAAGGGATATCCTCATGTAGCTTTTCATGGGCTTCACTGCATAAATCAGACTCCCTTGCTTGCAGAGGAGCCTCTCCTGCATGATTTTCTCAAGAACTTTCCTGAGGCAACTCAAGTGCTAGTGAAGCACAAGATAACAGTGCCTTCACAGACACCAGTGGAGGAAAGGATATTCTACTTCTTCAGATATTACAAAAAATAATAGTATTTGTCTGATAGCCTCTCTCTGCACGTAGCTGTGCAATGAGGGGTGGAGAAGAACAGAAGCACCAAATCTACAGGACGCTCCACGCAACGACACTGGCATTTCTGTTGTGGGAGACGGTCACAGACAACTGTGAGATCAAGCGGCGTGAACTGACAAAAACCCCAGTGCAGTTCTGTTTTCCTTGATGGGTTGGGCTCTTCTCTAGCACTGTCAATACCATAATTCCAGGAACAGATTGGCAATGGAAAGCACTAACCACAAAGCCAGCAAAGTACAATCTCTTTACAGTGGGAGTGTGAACAAATAGTTCAGTTTAAACTAACAGCTGATCCAGTTAAACCAATAAAACCAATAAAATGGTCAGCCAGAAGAGTGCACACACAGGGACTAACCCAGTGTTCTAGAGCATCGAGCAACAAGCACTAAATGCTCTAGTTGAGAAGATGAGAGTTGTTCACTGCTGCCTGAAATGCCTCTCACAGCTACAAGCCTGGAACTGGAGAAGAGATGTTAGTCCTTTGATCTAAAATTTAGTCTTAACACACCCGTTTTTCTCTATAATATACTTTTCCTTCTCACAGACACAGAACAGTTGCCATTGCCCCTCTTCCTTCAGCTTGTCTCTTTTTGCTGCCAAAAGTCCAAATATTACCACTTGGCTATCACACCTCATACCAAACATACTCAGTGTGGACACAAAAACAATCCAGTTGTTTACTCCAGTGAGTTGCTGCAGCCAATTCTGCAATCCTCATATCAGAGCTCTGTATTCTGAATAAATCCCTTTATTGTCCAGGTATGTAACAAAATCAACGTGGAGCTTTCTCAGCAGCCATGAAGGGCAAAGTCTGCAGTCCTAGGACACAGTTTGGTTAGCAGTCAGTTATTAGATTGCCTTAGCCGTAAAACGAAGCGAGGCTCCACTCTGCTTATTCCCTCTGTGCCTGGCTACAGGTCTTGCTGCCATTTCTCCCACACCAACCCTCGTGCTCACTTGATCTCAGAGGAAGTTAGATCAGGGACTATTCTAGCAAAAAAACCAAAGGAAGCGATTATCTGCTGGGGTAGCTGTGAATGAGGTCACTACAGAGTTGGATGCATGTCTCAGTTCACACAAGGGAGTCAATCGGAACACAGGCTGCAGCAAGACCACCCTTTAGATCATATCTGCACCCCTTAGATCACACTCTCAGGTTCAGCTGCGGTGGTAGGATGCCGTGTATTGTCTATGCATATTACTCGGACTGTCCAATTTTCAGCTATTTTATAAACATGCCTGCAAAGATCCACAGAAACTAGGGGATGAAAAGCTGGCCGTTTACTTTTAGCCTTCTAGAAGAACTCTTTAGGAACGTCTCACCAGAAATCGCATTTCAGATGGAAAAATATCAGAACCGAATTTTAAGAATACAGCCTTGCTTTCCTAATCATCCACCCTAAAAGGGCAGACAAAAACCTGCAGTAACAGGGAACATGCAGTGGATATTGGCTTTCAGTGACATCCAGTCTCTGCACATACAAGAGACAAGAAGAATGGTAAAGGTTACTCCTCTCTACATCTTTGGGTCTGAAGCCTTTCTATGCACTTGCTAAATCCACAAGTAAGAAAAAGAATTCTTTATTCATGCACATCTGTCCTTCACTATAATCACCAAGCCAAAAGAAAAAAATCAAAAACACTTTAGCATATCATATTTCTGAAAGAACTACCTAGTCTAGACAACCACAACTGCAGCCAGACAATTCTTACCTTGTCATACCCGAGCAAATGTAAAACCAGACTATTTATACAGGAAGTCAATTACTCTGCCACAAAACTTCCCAAAGCTACAGCTCCTGCAGGAAAACATCAAAACTGAAAGTGTTGCAAACTGTGAGAAAAAAATATACTTCCAGAGGAAGTAATGACTGAAAAATGTCTGTTTCTGAAAAGAAACAGACAAAAGCAAACAAGAACAAGAGGGGTGGGCCCAAGTGCCAGTCTTCAGAAGTCTTCCTCAGCAACAGTAACAGAACTGGAACCTCCTTGTCCTCGGAGCCCTCAGCATACACAACGAATAAAGTACACGCTGACAGCAACATCAATGGTCTTGAAGCACCAGTTCTGGAAGGATATGACGACCCCCACTGAGCAGAGAGAACAGTTTTACAGGGAGAACCTTGTTATTTGGAAGCGAAAGCACAACAGCCATCACCAGTATAAGACACCCTCCAGAGTCCCCGGCCCAGGCGGGGCAGAAGGGAGGCCAGCCTGCTCTTGTCACAGACAGGAGATCCAGGCAGGGAGATAATCCAAGACTTTCTCATGCTCTGCAATACTCACAGCTACAGCAGGTGCTCTCAAAAGCATCATTTCATCTTTGAATAAAGTTCTCCAAATTCCAAACCAGGTCCAGAGAAGAACAGCAGAAGTAGGGTATATGGGTATACAACCCCATATTCACTCCAAACTCACTTTAAATATGTCACTGATGCTCAAAGGTGGCAAGCAAAAAAAGTTTGCCCTTGAAAGTTGCCTTGAGACCTCAGGAGATGCTGTCTGTGCAGCCTTTAGAAGGGATATGGAGTGAGCAAGAATCAGCAGCAGGTCAGAAACGCAGGCACGCGGCAAAGGCAACACAGAAACTTACTGCAGAAGGCAAGAGCCTGGAGTTGCCTTTTCACAAACTCCAAGTGCCTGTCTGCATATGTCTGGCTGGGAACTGCTGTTACAGACCCACTGTAAACTACAAAAGAGCTCAGAAGTAACGCTAAGCTCTATGACTAATTAGATTGCTGGATCAGGTTGAGGAGGTTTTTACCCAGGAAAGGGAAGAGTATTACTGTGCAACAATAATGGGCCAGTACTATACTAGCCAGAAAACAAGGACAAGCAGCCACCTAGACAGATGGTGTTCGTCAGACACACGTCCTTCAGAGCTTGTATTAAGACACGAAGAGGTTTCCCTGAAAGCATCTCTGCAAAGCTGGAGCAAGTCAGCACTAGCAAAAACAGATCTCTGACATTCCTCCTTCTCCCTCACAGAGTTCTGGTTTCAGATACGCCAGAGTACGCAGGAATTAAATGCAGAAAGACAAAGGTATTCAATATTGGTTTCTTACTGCTGGTGCAGTAAGGAGGTTAAAAACTTTCTGCCTCTTTGGTGTGAGCAACCATCGATACTTCCCTCCTCTTCACTTTCATCTCAATAATGCTCTTAATTACCAGTTCTTCTGAGCACAGGCCCTACCTTAGCCTTTTACTTGCCTGGAAAGAGCGTAACTTCTGTTAGAACCATGTAATTTTAAAGAGAAGCTGTCAGTAGTAGAATATTTCCTTCTTTTCAAACATAGTTTGAAAAACATTATACTTGAAACCAACTGATGAATTTGGGTTAGGTTGTCACAACACAGACTCATTTCACTTGGAAACCAGTTCAGATGGACTTCTAGTCACACTTATCAGGCTATCAGAAGCAGCAGCGCATGCCAAGACACAAAGCTGGACTCGGGCAACAGACAAAAGGGTATACTGAAGAAACATGCGTCTCCAAACTCTTCTAGTCATGCGTAAAAATGGAGATAAACCATGTCCCTCTATCGTAAGAATGCTTGCGAAATTGTCTATTACAGATTGAGCACAAGTTAAAAGCCACAGATTTTAATACCAGTGTGGTGAGGGCATAAGTGTGAGCAGTCCCAGACCTCAGAGAGCCTGTCAGGGAGGCACATTTATTCTGCCTTCCTCCGCTTCCTCTCTCATCGTTCACACCTACCTGAGCAGCCAACCCTTTTTGCTCTGGCCACAGTCTACACTTGCTTTTCTAGACTACTGCAATCAGGAGTAATAATATGTATTCTGGTGGTCCAGTTACCTAGATTTGGGAGAAAAATATACTATTGCCATAAGGCTGTATCAGATTTCAAATAATCACACTTCATTTCAGGCACTTACAGGCTTTCTAAAGCACAAGAGGTTGTAGTCTCTCAGAAACATCTATGAAATTTCAGTTGCCATCTTTGCACATCTCCTGCATTTTGTTCACATTCTTATAATTCAGTAGAATTCTGCTATTTGATAAATGTATTAATTGTTACTACCACGACACCGTAAATAACAAAGTAAATTGGAAGTTTAAACTGATCTATGCTTCAAACAACATACAGACTTTGAGTTGGCTAGCTAATGGCTGACCTGCTGCACCTAGTTTGCAGGAATCATGAAGCAAAATTCAACAATC